ATAGTTTTTGTCAATTATCCACCGTTAATGGAGAATTATTACTATTTTTTCTCACAGTATTCCGAATATTGTAGCCCTTTATCAAACATGACGTAGCTGGGAAATATTATTTATTAAACTTAACTTGGTGGGACACAAGGCCAGATAGGAAAAACGAAGTTTGGAAGATTGTGTTGCGTAGAGAGTATCTTTATAACTTAGAAATCAGCTTTGGAACGCCTGCTTTTTCTTACCTGGGCTCGAACGCGGTCGTCCTTGGCAAATAAGTGAAAAAATACCTTGGAGTCAATTTCTCTGCTACTGATGTGGCTCATCAGTAGCAGAGCAAACAGACAAGCCAATAACTAAGGCATGATAGTTATTCATAAAAAGTTCAGAGGACGTATATGAGGGAGTGGAAAGGAATCTTTATTATTATCTTCAATTTTAGAAAGACGTAGGCGAACGTAGGTAGTTTTTGTTGATATGAAATTATTTGTATCTGCAAAGCGACGTCTGTTTATTTTGATTAGCCAAACCTTTAAATTTCATGCTTGGATGGTCGATTTTTTTTCTTTTTATAGCGGTGAGTTTATTTCTTGTAAATATGCATTTGAATGAAGTGCGCATGCGCGTTTGTGCTCCGGTGAGGCGTTCGTGCAAAACTATCAATAAACGAGTGTCTGTGTGGATATACATACGTACATACAACTATTTGTTTCTTCGCATGTTCAATGCCTATTCATACATGCATGCATACATACATACATACATACATACGTATAAAACACTTTTGGAAAATCCTACTTTGACATGTTTTGCCGGTCGACCGGCATTATCAGAAGAATAATTTTATTCCACAAAAACAAAATCTACGTTAGCACGACAAAACGTGATTCACATTAAGCGTTTGAACATTAGCTGTTTATTTAACGGTATCGTTATAGAAATTAGATTTTAACCAATTTCAGCTCATTTTTTTTTAATTGTATGTTTTTTAAAAGGATATATGTGGATATTAAATCCTCATACACTAACATACCAGGTGACAAATTTAAACTTTCTAAAAAAAAAAAAAAAAGAAAAAAGAAAAATGAACCTCTCCCTACCAATTAATAACGTCATAAAAATATATCTATTTTGTACAAGCCACTTTTTTTTACATTCAATAATATTTTTTATAAACAAAATTCGGCTCTCACTGAGTTCTATCAGCGGTGACTTTGTTTGCTTCTTTTTACAATACTTAGAATCTGGCGTATTTCAAAATATCTTAACCCACTTAAGAGGATACCTTATTAATATATTCGCACAAAACTAAATTACTATATTTCATAAATAAACAAAATCGAACCTATAATTGAATTTACACATGAAAAAGAAGCAAATAACATCTTATCTTTCCTTAATATTCTGTTGATTCAAACTGAGACGGTTTAAAATTGAACGTCTATCGTAAGTCGACTAGTAAAAACTACCTGATGAATTTTTACTCACATATTAACAAGATAAAATCTGGAATAATTATTTGTGTTTTATTTAAGAGACTTTAAAATTGGAAATCGTGAATATCTACCTGATGAAGAAAAATACATTGAAAATATTTTCAAATCCTTCACTATCCTATTTCATATACAATGCCATAAAAAGGCACAAAATCCGCACACTGGAATAGAAAGTATAACCGACAATACAAAACATTGGCACACGACTTACAAAGTCCATAACAAATGAAATTGAAAGAAATTTAGCTAATATCAATATAAAAAGAAATTATCAAAAATTACTTCTAAAACAGTTTAAAATTTCATCGAGGGAAAATATAGAACTAACTTTTATCAGAAGCAGGAGACTACCAAATTGAATATAAATGATTTTCCCAGAAATACTTTGGTAAAACACTATAAAATTCAAAGAAAAGAATATACGAACATAAAATATACTTAAAATTAAACAACAAAATCAATGTACCTTTTTTCCTATTGAAAAAAGATAGAAATAATCTGTAAAAAATATTATAAAGTTTAATGTACCTAGTTTTAAGTATAGCTAAAATAACTAATGTGATTTCAGGCATTACTGTAAATCAGTTGGCAAATGTTTTCCGTGAACTGCAAAATCGTATTACCCTTTGTATGGAGGACATGTGGAAACTAAAATAAAATTTCAATAAAACCTTAAAAAATATAGATTTACTTCTTTCTAATCCTTCTTACAAATTATTTCTATCGCAAATACAAATAACGTTATAAATTTTTTAAAGTGCACCCGAACTTTATGGACACCCTGTATATATATATATATATATATATATATATATATATATATATATATATATATATATGTTGCAATTGAATTAGTCATATTTTCTGAGTGAATAATCTAGGATTTCTTCTTTTACCATTAACTCTGTTGTCGCATGTGAGAAGGAATTCTGCTTTTTAAATCTTTAGAAGTAAAAACATTTAACAAAAGTTAACACGAAAGAAAAGAAATAAAAATCAGTACATTGCCAATCTATTTTTTATTTCTAAATAATGGATTTTTCTAGTTTTACATATTAATCAGAGTGTTGAAAATCCAATAAATATTGTGATTAAAATTGATATTTGCAGAATGTGTGCACTGAGTACAAAGTTTTGAACAAAAATAAGAACAAACAATGTCATTGTAATAACAAAAATGTTATAGACAAATTTAATGCAAAAATATATGCTCCCTGTTTTGAAACTAGTTTTAGAAGATGTTTATCATTTTCTTTTGTAAGCCGTTTGTATTTCTCCATCTGAAACAGACTGCACAGCATCCAGAGTAGCATTGCAAAATTCATTGTTGCAATAAACTGACAACTGCTAAGGTAAACGTAAACGTTCCTCTTCAGAATGTTCCACAAGTTTTTAATCGTATTAAGATCTGGTGAACAAATCATTAACCTCATCAAACGAGTATCTTTGAATTAGTTTTTCACTCTGTCTTGCCAAAAAGCCTAAAATGTTTCCAGATTGATAAAAACGGATACAAAAAATTCGCTCGGGAGGCCAATCGAAGTTCTTAAGTTGTCCTTATTAAAGTCAAATTGGAGTCGATCGGCATCTTCAACTAATTTCTTTACACTTTAGTTGGATTTGCCAAACATTTTTGCAATTTTCAACATTATTATATCTTTTAAATATTTAAATTATTAAACATTTCTCTTTATCGGTGAAATTATTCTCACAAGTCATTTCAAAGCTTGAAACTCTCAACGTGACCATTAACTGGAAACTACAAAATTCAAGATATTTCATACAAACAGGTGTCGTTGGTTTACATCTGCACGGAAACAACAAGATTTTATTTTAACTTTTGCTATCATTCAGAAAAGATATCTTTAAACAAGTATTTAATGTAAGAATCGATAAAACATGAAGTGGTCCATCATGGGAAATGTTTATAAAGTAAGTAAATAGGTATAGTTATACATGTAGAAATATTATAGTTACAAAAATGACATCTGAAAACACTTTGATTACCGCTTCTGTGTGCTTGTCTGGAAAGAAGTGGATTACCATCTATGAATATAAAAAAGGACGATGTGAACAGAAAGAGCCCTAAGTGAAATTCCAAAGTGGAAAGGGCCTAAAAACGGTACCACAGGTTGATCCAAGCCTTGTGAGTGTAATTCGGCAGTCGGAACTATTCAGGTGGTCGTCTTAGCACGAAATCTAAAGTCATCATGACCTTTGTTTGAGCCTAATATCATTGTTTAAACCCTTGATTATGCAATATTATTCTCTCTCTCCCCCCCTCTCTCTCCTCCTCTCTCTCAGAAACTGTAACTAATGTCCGCTCAGAATAATCGTAATATAAACCACAGGTGGTATCTGTAAATGTTGAATATTGCCAGAGCAGACTTGTGCTAGAGCGAGTGCCAGAGAAGGCGTGTGGATATATATATATAAATATATATATATATATATATATATATATATATATATATATATATATATATATATATATATATATATAACTATTAGTTCTATGGATTCAAAAGAGGCGAGGTAGGTGACGACATGTTGAGATTACGTGAGCGTGAAAATCTCGTCTAGTTCTTTCCTTTTTCACCACTTTTGATATATAAGACTGAGTCCGCCAATAAAAGTGTTATTTGACTGAAGAAGTTTCTTTTCGGACCATTTCACTAATATAAGTTTTCAATCATTCATTTGTTCAAATATACTTGGCCACTGAGGTAGTTTATGTATTGGCCAGCCATAGCACAGTGGTTGTATAAAAGCTGTTTTTTTTAGACCGGCTTTCTGTATTGGGAGGCATATCTATAAATGAAGAAGATTGAATCAATTGCTAGGCCAGCTGTTAAGGAATTTGGTTCACTGTGTCGTACTTGACAATTTATTCTCCAGAATCTATCTTATATATCTATAAGTCTAGCATTCGCCCATGCTTAGAATATTGCTGCCACATATGGTCTGGTGTTCCTGCTATATATTTTGAGATGCTTGATAAAATCAAAAGAAAAATAAGCCATATTATTGATCTAGATCTGGCGTATCGGCTTCCAAAGCTTTTTTATAAATACTTTCATGGCAACTGTCCGGATGAGCTGTCTGCTATGGTACCTAGACTTTATGGATTTAAGAGCAGTACTAGAGACTGGCGATGAGGTTTCACTGATTTACAGTTGAGTTGTCTAGATGTAACCGTAAATTCTATGCTAACGGTTTCTTTTCTCGCTTGTGGAACTCTCAATGCTTTCCAGATAACGTTAATCCTTAACAATTAAATGCAATGGCAATCGCTATCTACTGCCCTCCTGATTATTATTCTTTTGTTCTCGCTCCTTAGTATTTTTCTGTTTTTTTATTATTCCACACACAGTAACCCCTTGTGTCTTAGTCGCTTTACTGCCTTGCTTGGGGGTGAAACCGATTAAAATAATAGAAAAGAAGAACAATCAAACTTTGGAAAAAATTGCACTGAAGTAAAATTGATAAGCAAAAATGATTTTAACTCTATTGTACAGAGGTTGAGAAGCGGAGTTCTTTCCTTTTTCAGCTGGGAAGAGAGAAAGTGGACATCAGCGTCGATATTGAGAATTAACGACAATTCACTGAGGAGGAAATCAAGAAGGCAGAGAAGAATGTGATGGGGATGGTGATGTGTTTGTCGGTGGAACAAGGAGCATAGATTTGTCAAGAAGTATTAGGTGGGTAAAGGGTGAAAGGAAGGGAGAGGGGGACACAGAGGGAGAGAGAGACTAAAGAGAGGGGGAGCGGAACGTGGTTACCGCCCGCAGTGAACGATATTAACAAAGACAAGTGCTGTAATTATTAGATTTGGAGATATTGGGGTGTACAATAACATAAACAAACCGATTATATTAATAAGGAGGGTTAAGCATAAAATGAGGGAAATGTTGAAGGAAGGATTTGATGAAAGAAAAGCTAATGAAGGGGAAGTGACATAAAGGGAGAAAAGAATAATGTCACGAGAGGAGAAAGATAAAAAGAAAGAAAAATGAATGATATGAAAGTGAAAAAAAAAGGAAAGGATCATATAAAGAATAAGCGAAACAATATAAAAGATAAATGAAAGAAGATATAATCGCAACTTATGTAAAAAGCAAGAACAAATTAAAAAACAAAAATAATAAAAAATAAAGCCAGTTTTAGAGAAAAAACAACGAATAAAAAAACAAACAAACAAACAAAAGAACAAATATTAATAAGCTTAGTCTAGACTGGTACAACACCAACAGTTTTAAGGCGTCTAGTTAGAATGAATGTACAGTCAGCAATAATATGTCAGATTGATTTCTTAACCAGTGCTTTACCGCAAGAAAACGCGAAAAAGAAAGAAATTAAACAGAATGCTTGGAAAGAAGGAAAAAAACAGTTTAGAATAAAATATGAAAGGCGGGAGAGGAGAAATAAATTTAAAAAAAAAAAGAACTAAACAAAAAATAGAAAATATACAGGCAAAAATAGAGAAAGAAAGAAAATGATATTGGAAAAGTAAAAACTGGTGAAGCGGTGATATGAGACGTCATTTTTGGATGAAGAAATTTATAATGAATTATCAGAAAGGGTTGAACTGAAAGAATACATAGAAACACAAAAAGTAGTAGTAGTAGTAGTAGAAGAAGAAGTGAAGAGAATGTAAAAAAGTGAAGAAAAAGCTAAAATAAAGGAAAGAAAAAATGTAGAGTATAAGAATGAAAGGACGAAAAAGAAAAATACAAGAAAAAGAAGAATAGAAAACATATAAAACCAGAGTTGTTGGCCATAAGCACCTCAAGAGGAACAAACTTACCGCCAGTAATAACTTTCAGATAAATTCGATTTTTTATAAATAGTTACATCATTATTGCAAAAATCTATTAGAAAATTATTCATCAATGATCACGGGCATATACAAAATGTGTATAAAGGAGATAGAAATTTCGATGAGTCATAATATTTGTTGCATCTTAGTCTTTGATAGAGTGCGTGTGAGAAATCTGCTATAAGGAAATCATAAAACAGAAAAATGATTTAGCCAATGAGAAAAATAGCAAAAAATAAAGAGTATTATAAGAGGTATTCCACAAATATATCTGAAATTTGATCGGGGAAAATTTGATCAGGGAAAATTTGATCAGGGAAAATTTGACCTTGAAAAATTACCCAACATTTAATGTCTCCTTCGAAGGTGCTTCCTTCGGAATATAGAACGCTTTTAGAAACAGTGCTTCTCACAAAGGGCAGTTGTAAATATCCATGATACATCGATACTTTATCCGGTTTGTGTGTTCTGCTTAACTTGCACAACATTTTGGATAGCACCCAAAAATAACCGTCTTAATCTGTTCGTATTATTTAATTTCATTATTGACTACTGATAACTTCTTTCTTTCTCATTTCAATGCACAAAATAGAGTTAATAGAGCGACTTAAATGTTAGTAAAAAAGAAATCGATATTAATCAAATCAAATAAAAATAATATATTTAAGAAGAGTAATCATGACTTATCTGAGGTCTGCGAACGAGAAATATTTGCCATTTTGGGTACTGTTCACATCCAGAGCAAAAGCCGATTTTGGAAAGTAACCCTTCGACCTTTTATTGAAATTTGCTTACTTTGTCAAAACTAACGCCAAAGAAATCAAGAAAGAAGTAATCATATCAAGAAAAATGGTTTACATATAATCAATATTTAAACTGATCAATCAATCCAGGTCAGGAAACTTGATTTGATCATTTAGTCAGAGAGAAGGAAATCGATGGCAAATCTTGAGCGCCATTCGAAGCAATTCTATAAAAATCAAGCGAGTGGCAAATTCAAATTGTGTAGAAATAGAGACGGCACAATCAACCACGTCATAAATGAATGTTGAAAGTTGACGCTAATAAAGAATACAAAAGAGAGAAGCAGAGTGAAAAAGGAGAAGGGTGGTGTGGGGATAAAAAGTAAAATGACAAGGGAATCTAGACGGGCATCAACTAAAGCCACAAGACAATTAACAACACTGACAAAACTTA